AAAGCCATAACATGTTTAACACTAACCTGAGTCTGACATGGTGCTGGCGCAGATTGGATGATGCTGGAACAGATTGGCAGTGCAAGGTATAGAAGTTCTTCTCCTGAGAATCCGATCCTTATAGCTATAACTCTGATGGGTGAATTTCTGTTTAGCTGTGTTGTGTTATTCGGATCTAGGAGGGAGCCTTCTATTTATATGCATCTCTCTAAGTGTCTTGCCCATCAAGAAACACTTAGAGATATCCTTCATGCTATAGGATTAATCCATTTCAATCCTTGTAGAACTAGGAACCCTTAAGCCTTCATTATCCTTATTGAACACTATTTGAGGCTTGCCTAATCGAGATAGGTTTTGAGTTCCTAATAAACAATAAGTCTTTGTAATCCTAAGTTGATTAGAAGATCACTTTAGTAGGTTTAATGTAATAAACCTTCTTACATCAAATCCTTGGCAAAGGAGGCGGTGGTCTCGGCAAGGGTGTTGGCATTGGGGCTGGAGTCAGAGGAGGAGCTGCGGGTGTAGGTGCAGGAATTGGAAAAGGTGGGGGAGCTGTTGGGGGCTTTGGAAAAGGAGGAGGAGGCATTGGCAAGGGAGCTGGTGTTGGGTTCGAAAAAGGCGGTAGTGCTGATGCTGGTGGAAAAGGCGGCGGAGGGGGCTTTGGAAAAGGTGTTGTAGGCGGAGGAGCTGGTGGTGGATTTGGACATATGGGTTCAAGAAATGGAAGTGGTGCTGGCGGTGGCTTCGGAAAGGGTGGTGGAGTTGGTGGCGGTCCTAATAATGTACTATTTCTAGTACTACCGCCTTTCATTAATTTTGTGTTAAACAATTAATATTTAGAAGTAATCTTATTTCTTTTTTCTTTTTTGGTGAAGCAATCTTATGTATCAGTGTACATTATTATTTCTGAATTTGAAGGAGTGTTATTTTGTTCAATTTATCCTGTGGCTGGACAAACTTTTAGCGCAGGATTATAGTGGATCATCTTTGGACAAGGTAAAAGATTTGAAAGGTTGAATATATATTACTCGGCTGTCTTTGCGGCGCCTGTTTTTACCTTCTCCTCCAGTTTTTTTTTTGTGTTTTGTTTTTCATAGGTTGGTGAGCATTGAGCTGATTTGTGATGGTATTTTGTTGTTTCGGCTGCTTACTTCTGTTTGTGTTCTGATGCCTTTTCTGGCCTTTTAATGAAAATCTCACTTGATAAATAATAAAAAATTAAATCGTTTTGAGTTTCTTTAGAGCATCCACAATGGTTGTTCAATAGTTCAATGAAATAATTCAATAAATTGAACTATTTTGACATATATTGAATTGAATTGCAGTTTTACTTACAATGGTACAGTTCAATAGCTTTATATCAATAGTTATATTTACTTACATGTTTTTTTTACATACTTAAATAAAATAAAAAGGATAAATTTAATAACACTAAAAAATTGTACCATTGAAATATTCTCAAGGAGATCTTTAAAAAAAGACCAATATTGAATATATATATATATATGAAAAAAAAATTAATTAATGTAATTTTTCTATTACATTGAACTCTTGGACAACCATTGCAGATGCTCTTAACAATATAATGCATTAATTGCTGTATTTTTCTATTCTTTTATTGGCATGTGGGTCCCAAAATTAGTTTATAGAGAATTTATCATATAGCACCCTCTGTTGCAATTACATCTATTGCAGTGAACTAAATCACACAATTGATAGTTCAATTTTATGCAATTTGCATTGATCCTAACCATTGCATATGCTCTTATAGCAGTAGGAGTCTAAACTGGTATGGTTATAAATTTCTATCTTTTTTTATGTTAAGTTTCATTATTAGTTTTATTTTTCTTTGAAATAATTAGATAGGAAATGGAATTTGGTCCATAGTTTCCCCTTACGCTTAGGGTTTAGAAGATTTACTTCCTAGTTGTGTCGTCAACAATTCCTTCTACAATTAGGACTTTCGTACTTTCCTTTTTTCTTACACATGTAAACGCTATATAAACCTCATTACAGAGAAGAATGCAATACAGAAAATTCTCCAAATATACCACCAAACCAATTGAAATTGTGTTTTAGCTCAGCCATCTAAAAGAATATTTTATTTTGATAATGGGAAGCGCTTGGAGGCTTTTGTTTTCTTTGCTTTGCATTCAAATCCTTGTAGCGAGTGTGGTTGCAAGGAATATAGTGAGTGTGCGGCATGACGAGGAGGGAAAGAACTTAGCTTTTGGGAAGGGAGGGGGATTTGGCGGTGAAGGTAGTGGTTTTGGAGGCGTCGTTGGTAGTGGTGTTGGGAGTGGTCTTGGTGGTGGCATTGGTAAAAGTGGCGGGGTAAGCGGTGGTGGAGCTGGTGGTGGCTTTGGAAAAGGACGACGCATTCTCAAGAGGGGTGGGGGTGGTGGTCGTGGTGGCAAGCATGGTGGATTCCATGGTGGTGTACATGGTGGAGCTGGGGGTAGAGTTCACAGCGGTGCTGGTGGTGGATTTGGAAAAGGTGCACTACAACAGACAGTGTTATTAATGGCATTATACTGCACTTTTACCGTATTCCTA